CTGTCCACCCATAACTCCTGCAACCAGGTAGAGGAATTGAGAGAAAACTCTGAACTGCAGCTGCGTTGTATATTCCAAAAGTCACACAGTGGTAACTTTAGAAGAGGAAACAGCTCCTAATGCTGCTGGCACAGCTCCAGAAAACAGAGAATCAAGGATTGTGTAAAAGCATGAATAATTGTGAAAATATGTTAGTGTTCTGAGCCTTGGGAAATAACCTTTCCATGTCTGTAGAAGGGGATGTTTTTCAATAATTGCAGCAATTAAACCTTTGATTACAATTTCTAGAATTACACAGTACTGGAAAGCTTTTGATGAACACTAGAAAAAACAGTATGCTTCACATGGATATTTTTGCTGTTTTGGCTCACCTTAGTAAACGTAGTACGTGAGTGTGTTGGTTTTTTTTTTTTTTTCCTGGAGTTTTGGTTTGATTCAGATTTGAAGGTTTAAAGACCTGTTTGTGTCTTTAAATCTTTTCTCAGAGTCTAGGAGATTTCTTGCCTAAATGCAGTGATGGAAACAGTTTAGCATGTAACAGTTCTATAGAAAAAGAGGTTGGTGCCATACTGTGTTAAATTTTAATGTGAGTTAAAAGTGAATGAAGTTGTAAGGAAAAGGAGGCATTATTCAAGGTGCTTAAAAAGACAGTCCAGTATCAAGTAATCTATCCGGTCTATTAAGACCAGTATATCCTCAACTTCAGTATGATTGGTTTTGTTTGTTACATTTGAGGGTCAGTGCAGGCTCTCAATAGAAAAGAAATACGAAGAAGAACAATTAAATGCTTTAAAAGCATGACTTAAAGGAAGGAGAGGTGAAACGGTACTCTTCTCTGAAAGCTGAATTTTCGTATCAGCTCTCAGGTATGTAAAAAGCTGTTGAAAACAAAAATTGATTTTCCATGTCAGTTATGAATAGGGCATATGTAGTTATAGCTGAATCAGATGCTTGGTAAATGAAGAGAATAGAGAACTGTATATGTTTTCTCAGATGGTGGAATAGTCATTCTTGGCATTGCCAGCAATTTTTTAGGTAGACCTTATACTGTTTTGAGGTAGAAAGTAGTCTAGAGGAAGTTGCTAATCCTTTCCAGTCCTAAGATTCCATGAAAAACTGGTTTATTTACTTACTGATTTTGCTGGTTAACAGTTGGTTTCAATCTTGCAAGTGTGATTTTTTTTGTTGGCAAAGCTTTTTCATATGGAAATGTTTGATGGTTCGTAGGTATTTCAAGGCAAGAAACACCTTTAGTGATGATGATTTATATGCAACTTAGCTCACCAGGTGAATAAAAGTACATTTAAGTTGTAGTGATATACATGCATAGCTGTATCAATATATCTGGGTAAGATCTGGGGTGCCAGCTAAAATAAAATAAAGATGAACTGTGTCAAGTTTGCTCACTAATTCCTAAAAGTAAAATATTTACATCAATCAGTGGAAGTACTGTAAATAACCTGAGAATGAGGTAAAGATGATGTCAGTAGAAACATGGATAGGATGTACAGCTCCTTGAAATGCTTCCGTTCTCAATCCTGTAACCTTGCTGTATCTTTAGCAGCTCCGGGTGTCCAAATAACAGCTTTAGCCAAAAGTTGCTTATAAATCAGGGTAAATTTAAAAAATTTAAATTGCACATGCACTTGTCAAATAATGTAGTTGATCTTTGCACTGTTTTTTCATTTTGATTTGTATTAAAATTTTCCACTGAATTTATAGTGGATAAGCAAGTTATATTTTTGGTTTTAACATACTTGTATCATCACAGCACCCACAGGAAATGTTAACTTGACCATTTGCTATGAAATCTGTATACTTAAAATATTTTGGAGGGCTAAGTTATTTGTAGAATAAACGAAATCTTGCTATAATTCACTTTCATAAAATATATGCACAACATCTCAGAAGTTAGACTGTACAATAATACACAGGATGTGGTTATGTTGTAGTAATGTAGTATTCATTTGTCTTTGGTCAAGGCTCTTCTCAGACTTACCAATGTAATAATTAGAAAACAAAACAAAACCCAAACCACAACCAAGTCTCATACTTGGTAGGTCAAGAGTTCCCCATTTCTGCTGCAAACCAGACTGATGTCAGTTAATGTCGTTTTTAAGTAGCTGAGTAATGTTCTGTCGTCCGCTGGCTGAGCAATTTATTGTACGCAATGAATGTTTAAAATCTCTGTTCAGAGATTTCCATGGTTTTTTGGTAGTCCTTATGAAGAAATATTATTCTCTGAAGAGGTTACTTTCACTGTGGATGTACTTGTAAGTTTTTAGAGAAACAAGGGTGCATTAAGAATGTTAAATTAACAGTTGAAGAAGTTACTGATGACATCTTAAGTGCCTGGATGGTGTATTATAACAAAGCTTTGTATCTTCACATTGTTCTTTCAGATGAAGAATGCTCATATAGTACTCATTGCTCTATTATTTTCAGTGTGTGCTTCCATTTTTCATAGATGTTCGATAACTGATTGCTTTTTCCTTTCTTTCCTATCTCCATGTATCATATGTTCTTTGGCCATAAAATAGATGTCATCTGGTTTAACTAAGTAGCTTTTTAATTAATGTTCTTACTCTTACAAGATAGCTGGATCAACAAAAAGGGCACTGAAGAGTGTTATTTTGGCTACAGTAGACAGGCCGGGTGACTTCACTGCATTGCCTTATCAGTTGCTCAGTGTTTGTTTCAGTGTTAGGTTTGAGATACTACACCCAGAAACCGGATGCCAATCTAAGCGATTTCCAAACCTTGTGAAGTTGACGGACCGTAAAACATACGTTATATCTGATATAATGGTGAATACAAAGAATTTGTAATATATTGTCTTGTTTTTTAACTGAATGGATCTGAATACAAATTCAAATGCTATCTGAAGGTCACTTCTTGTATAACAGAAATGTAGCAACAATTACTGGCATTTAAAAGCAAAATAGTAGTTCATGTCTGCATTTGTATGTGTATTCATACGGTTCAGTTTTGCATCTTGTTTGTTAGAACTTGTATGTATGTGAAACAATGGAAGAATTTTTAAAACTAAATTATGGGAAGTGATCACTACACATTAGGATTCCTCTTTAGGATTTTTTTTTTAATACACAGACTTTTGCATGGGCTTTGACTGCCTCTGTTTCAGACTGTAATGTGGGTTGTCAGTGTCTGGGTGTTCATTTTTTCAGCTGTACCTGTTGATCTAATAATTTGACTCTACAAACCTCACACCTTACCCCTAGATTACCTTGAACATAATGTTACAACTATGATGGTAAAGATGAAAGTCTAATGGCAAGAGCCCCAAATTAATTCTGTAAGTTTTTCTTTTCTCAAAAGATTTTAAGATAAGCAGTTAACTGGGAAAACGAAAAATCCCAATTTGCAAATCTCTGAACAAATTCTGTGATAGCTTACTTAATGTACTTAATACAGACAGCATGAACGCATTAGAGATGCGCATAAGGATTGACCTATTTGCCTTTTTAGTAGGGTGCTTCTAACTGTAATTTTCTGACAATGATGTCAGTTTCCAGAAAACTTGTAACCTATCTGATTTATAGAGGAAGTCACATTATAAGGAATTTTAATTTCTATTTGAGCAACCAAAGCAAATAATCTCAGAAGTTCCTTTGCCAGCATCTCTTAAGTTCACAGAAAATAAAGATCAGTTATACATAGGTGGCCAGCCAACATGTATAAAAGTGCCTTTATTCATCATTTCCGAATATTTTATTTTAGTATGAAGAAATGCTGGAGATTTGAATGATCAAAATTCCTCAATATATTCTTAAAAAAAAGAAACAAAATGAAACAACTGCCAGCAGGTTCCATATTTTAGGAAACTTTTATCCTTTTATGCGTTTACCATCTGTAGCCACCTTTGAATGTGTCAGTACTGAGATGCTGCTCTTATTTCTTGTGTAAGACTTCTTAGTTTTCCACTACTTTACTAAGACTTTTTCAGGAATTGATATTCAAATAAAATCTGTCTCCCATACTTGAGCTGGCAGTGTTGCCTACTGACCTGGTCCCTTTAGCCTTGCACCATCAGTGCCTCTCAAAAATTAATATGAAACTTTCTAATCTGGCAGTGTTATTATTAAAATTGTTGATGTTACAATTACTACGCATACAAATAATCCTGTAATCAGCAAGGTAGAAGAGTATTAAGAATTTAGAACTACATCTGGGGTACTCTGGCATTTAAGTTTTACCTGGCAATTAAGTTATACCTGCCATACCTTGTTTACCAAAGCTCTAGCCATGTAAAATATGACATTTGTGAAGGAAAAGAACTAGAGATGCTCAGTTACAAATTCTAGTGCAAGTAAGGTAAGATCATGAACCTTCCTGACAGCTATGAGTTCATACATGTTCTGTGGAACGCTGATCTACAGGGCTTTTTTCTCGACTAACAAAACTGTCAACTGAATGAATTAAAATGTGTGGTCATTTGTGCAGTAGTTGTATATTGAACAATTGGAACATAGCATGGAAATGTGTGCACATATACGTGTAGGTCAATCAAAGTATTGTCTCCTACTTGCATGGAAACTAGGACAGATACAAAGAACACAAAACACTACTGGTCTCTATTCAGTCTCTGTCATACCACCGCTATCTGCCTCTGCTTTTTGGGCCAACACAGTAAAATAGGAGGCATTACTTTTTGATCAAACCCTATATTTACATGTAGATATGTACAAAGGGGGAAGAGGCAGAGGCTCTACAGTCTGCTTTACAAAATGACCTCATTTCTTTATTAACACAACACAGCTTGTTCACGCATGAGCCAGGAAAAACAAAGTGTCCTTTCCTCATTCGTGCAGTTGTGTTATTGATTTTCCCACCTCGTGTGTGAGTGGAATTAGGGTTGTCACCTCATTGTGGTCAGTTCCACACCTTTTTCAGGGTAAACAGCATGTGAACTTGTATATGCAGAGTCTGGGCCAAGGCCTTTTTATAAACCAAACTTTAATTTGTTGTTGTTTTGGCAGCTACAAATGTGAGACCATGTGGGCTGGCTGTGGAAGACACTATAAAAACTAACAGCGGAACGTTCATCTGGAGATGTTCTATGTTATTTATGAAAACGTAGAGACCAATCCTGCCACCTTCTCTCACGCTAACAATCCTACTGAGGTCAGCCAGGGATTATATTTCTGTAAGGATTACTTATGTACATAAAACTTTACTGGAATTGATACACGGAGTTTTCAAAATCTGTAAGGTGTTGAGATGACTGGGGCTGTTCAGGCTGGAGAAGAGAAGGCTCTGGAGAGACCTGATGGTGGACTTTCAGTATGTAAAGGAGGGCTATAAGACAGAAGGAAATGGACTTTTTATTGTGGTCTGTTGTGATAGGACAAGGGGAAATGGTTTCAAACTAAAAGACTGGAGATTTAGGTTAGATTAAATAGAACAATTTTTAATGATAAGAGTGGTGAAGCACTGGAACAGATTGCTCAGAATGGTTGTGCATGGCCCCATTCCTGGAAACACTGATGGTGAAGATGGACAGGGCTTTGAACAGCCAGGGAGTTGGATAGGATGACCTTTAAAGCTGCCATTCAACACAAATGATTCTATGATTCTATAACTTGTATATACTGAAATCCACTGAAAGTTGAAATGCTGTCTGTACCCTTGGACCTGATTAAAAATTAAGTGACTATGAATTAGAGGGAAAAGTCTTTGTATTTATTTGTCTTTTATTTTGTAGGTGTACACTGTAAAGACCCAGTTGTGGGAGTTACCAGGAAAATGTATGGTAAGAAATGCAATTGGTGGCATGATAAATGTGTTGTATTTGTCATAGCTTTAACATATTACTTTTCATTATTTTTCTATGATAATCTCTTATGTAAATGGAAGTGTAACATAAGTTTGTTTGCAAACTGAGGTGTGAACTGGTCACAACATGCAGACAGGATTATCTTTGGGATTATGGGTTCCACTCCAAGCTGTCTTTGAAGTTGCTGTGTTGATTTTGAGGGACAGTGTGAATAAAAGTTGAATAAAATAATTTGCTACTGCTCCTAAACTTACCGCCTCTGACAACCGAAGGTGCAATATTCTCCCCGCAAGTTTGGAGCTTCAGCTCCCTGCATAGTATCCCATTGCACTACTGGCCAATGTATCGAGTCAATATTCAGTGCAAGAGACATTTTGAAACAGTTCAGTTTTGGAAATTATTTCAAGGCTGTTTAGATTTATATAAGGAACTCATTAAGAAAACCTAATTTAAATACTGTGTCAATTATTTATGTACATAGACTATATATTGAAATGGTTTAAAATTTGAACCAGTTCATCTTGAGCAGAATCAAATCTGGTAAAGATAACAAACAGAAGTGCTTCATTGAACAAAGCATTTTCACTGCCACTTGTTTGCCACTGATGTTTTGTTCAAAAGTCATCTGTAGGCATCTTTTTATATTTCTTCTTACTATCACAGTGTTATCACCCTGGTTTCCAATGAAGATTCAGTTTCCAGTGTTTCTCTTGAGACCTTCAGCCTCGCACTCTACTCTGAGAGTGTTTGTGCTGTGTGAAGACTGTGGTAGGGAGCAGATAAGGTCAGTACCTTATGTTTTAAGTTTTTAATGTCAGAGGAAGAAATATCTTCCACACCATTAAAATTTGGTTCAGTAGATGTGTACCTTCATTGGTATCTGTGTAAGGCCTACAGTAGGAAACATTTCCTGCTTACAGATCTCCAAAGGTGAATCAAGTTCATGGTAAAGACTGTGTGGCATTTGCCTTTGAAGAACATTGAACCTCATGACTTAAGGTGTGCCTTGCAGATGCATCTTCCTATTTTACTAGAAGCAGCTGTTGCTGTTTTGTTTTGCTTTCAGAAGGAGACGAAGTTGCATCAGTTCTTATGTATTCAGCTACAGTGAAATTAAGGGGGAAAAACTGCAAGCCATGATAATGTCAGCAGTCAATATTGTTTCTTTTTACAGAACCATAAACAAAATCATGAATGCAGTCTCCAAAAGGTCTTGATGACAACTCTAGTAAATTTAATCAATCTGGCTACAGGGATGAATAGTATTTTCCTGTTATGCATTCTATCTTTTTTTGTCTGTGAAACTATTCAAATCTAATTAACCTAGTGTCAAGCACTCTGATTTCCATCCAATGGTTCTAACACAGGGCTCTATAAACAATGCTGATTTTTTTTATATAAACTTATCTTGAAATATTTGTTTTTAACATTTATTCTTTTTCTGTGAACCAAAGTCAATTATTATCTCAGAACTGTATGTCTGCAACTATTAAACAAACAGTACCCACAGAAGAAAAATAGTTTTTTACTACTACAGAAATCCACGTTGATTCAGGGCGAGACATGTGTGATGAGTAACTAATTTTCACTGATCTCTTGCTTTCCTCTGGGCAGAAGTTCATTTCAGTGGAACCAGTACAAATTTTGCCATTAACTTAAATGGGGATGAATTATCACTCTGTACTTGTTTATTTTGTATGGTTTTGTAGGAATTCCCAGAATGACTGCTTATCTTGCCCTGCAGACCTGACAGTGGGCCAACTTCTCTGCCATCTGTATCTGGACAATCAAATGTTGCATTGAGTGCAGTTAGCTATAATATTTAGTCCAATGATGTGAATTTGGTTTTGTATCTGTTACTCTTTGGTTTAAGAGTTTTACCTCATTCTTGATCTTAGTTTTATTTTAAATGCTGAAGGAAGGAGGTACTAAACTAAAGGAGGGGAGATTTAGATTAGATGTCAGGGGAAGTTCTTCAGAAGTGAGAGAGCTGAGGTGCTGCCACAGGCTGCCCACAGAGGTTGTGGATGCCCCATTCCTGGAGGTGTTAAAGGCTGGGTTGGATGGGGTCCCAGGCAATCTCATCTAGTACTTGATCTAGCAGTTGGCAACCCTGTCTTTGACAGTGAGGGTTGGAACTTGATGATCCTTAAGGTCCCTTCCAATCAAAGCCATTCTATGAAAGCAACAGCCCCTAGCCCCCCCTTCAAAATACTAACCACTTGCAGCACTGTGAAGTAGTCAGGAATTCTTTCCTTAATTCCCCAGTAAGTCAGAAACAATCAAACAAAAAGACAAGTATTAGATGCTGTTGCTGTATTAGTTTTTTTTTCTATATTATCTTTATTCTAGTATGATCCATATAGTGACTGAAAATTAAGATGAGAAAAATATTTAATGAATATTTTCTGAGCTACCTCCAGTTCTCAGAACAAAAGTCAAAACTGAAAAGATTTTTCAGCAATAGGTTATTGGGAGGACTAAGTTACAGAAGAGTGCTTAAGATGCATATATCTATGTATGGAACCTACACATTTCAAACATTTGCTTCCTTTTGGAGGTAATTGAAAGGTTTACCCTTTTTCCTAGTTCATATAAAGTTCATATAATCATCGACTGGTTATTTTAGCAATGGAATCTATTCTGTGAATTCCTGGAATAGCTGGGAGCAGCTCTGTGCAATGTCTACATTCTGTGTAAGTGGGATGACAGTCAAGTATAGGCATATCAGCTGTTGTGCAGAATAAAAAATAATTAAGGTATTGCAGATTCAGGTAGCGCTTTATCTATGCTATGTCCCAACACTTTTGATATGTGTTCTTTTCCCAGCAATTGTTCTCCATCAAGCATTTAATTTCCTAACTACTGGTATAAATTGGAATGGTGTTTCAATGCGTTGTTTCAAGACTTGTTGCTTTAATCTGTCCTTTATAGCTACTGTTTGAGAGGCTCCTATTAAATATCTAATTAACTTGGTTCATGCATTTACCTCAAGAGGTTTTGACTCTGCTTCTGTAATTTATGTACTGCCATCTGAGCTCAAGAGTTTGTAACATTTTGTGTGTGCAATTTTGATGCAGTTATTTGAGTGTTCTCTCTTATAAGAACGTAACTACTTACTATCTATTGTTTTTAGGTTATAGATAGAAATCAATCATGTGGTCTGCTGACCATTTTGGCAGGTATTTTACTGGTCAGATAATGCTGTCAGGACAAGTTCTGCTTGTGAAGGTATAGTTGCTACAGATGTTTACACAGTAGGTTTTTGTGCTGGAAACATGTATAAAGAATCTTCAAACAATATGTATTTTTTTCATTCTGAGGCTGAACTCTGCATTCTGATACCCATTTCAATGCACCTGTCAGAATTCATGTCTCAGAAGAACTATATTAAAGGAGAACCATGGTGTAGCTGATCAAATCAGGATTAGCATTTCTTGTTACTGAAGTTTCACAGTTGAAGTCTATATGCTATGGAATGGGAAAGTGGCCCTAGTGAGGTCTTATTTAACTTTATTTTTATTTACATATGGCACATTGTATGGACGACCACCTGCTCTTACTGCCTAAAATCAGCTGTTTAACTATGTTGCACTGTTGAGAAAAGATTTTTTTCTTTTTTGCCTCCCTGGAGGTTGTAGCTGCTGATACTCTAAAGTGCTTTTGAAGATAAAGCGTATTGCAGACAGAGCATATGATGGAATAAGTGTACATAGAATGCACTTTGCTATCTGTTTGATCTCTCTAGATGCTGATAATTGCTGGTGACATTACTGAGCTGGCTGCAGCAAGAGCTACCAAGTGAGAGGTGTTAGAGAGGATTTATTATAGGGTAAAGTAAGAGAACAGCTTAGAATCTAGAATACTGCTTAACACTAGAAAATATTGCAGTCAAATATATGTAGTCATTTGTACTGAATGATGTCCTTTGAAAACAATTTGTCAGGTACACGTGTATGTGTTACATACAGAAGTCTTGACTTCAAGAATTTTATCATGATTTAATGTACTGCTAATTAACATAAACTTCTGATTGCTTATTTAGGAAAAAAAGAAAAAGAAACGAATTAAACACTTGAATGCATGTATTTTCCAGTCCTCAGGCTCAACTTTTGCCAAAGAAACCTCCCTCCTCCCATTCCTCTCCTAGTCTCAACTTCCCTTATTTTTCCCACGTCACCTTTGATCCTCCTCAGTTCCTCTGAGGATGAGGTTACCTGCAACCAGTTTGGTCTACCAGGGCTGCCTAGAGGCTGCAGCCCCACATGGCTGACCCCAGAGCAGGTCATCCCTCAGGGCTGCACTCTGGTGTGCAATGCTGCTTCTGAGAGCATCTGTGTCCCCAGCTGCCTGGCTCCTCAGTGTTCCTCGTGCCTCTCTGTAGATCTCAGGTCTTCTGTCTTGAGTAGCATTTCAACTTGAAACATACAGTTATTACAGACTGACTACCACAGTATCTGTGGCAGAAAACTGAAGCAGTGTAAAAACGCTTTAGTAATTGATAATGGATTATAATGTACTTTAATCTCCAATGAGAAAATGTGCCATTTAATTGCTGCAGAATTTAAGTAGTTTATCTAAGAGAACAGTAACTGTGACTACTTGAGAAGGCAGGTATGTTTTCCAATGGGGAATTTATGATGATATAGTGCTTAAGGAGTCCCTAAAATGACTTCTTAACAAAAACAGCCTTTTTCTAGTTTGGACTAAATAACTTTAGCTTTTCTTTAGTAAAATAAACACCCGGATAATTATTTTGGAAATTAAGAAATTAACTGTAGTGATCATTTTGTTTTTGAAATTTTTGTTTCAAAAACATACAGAAATTTTAAAGCTGTGGAGCTGGCGCACAGCCTGATTTCCTTTTTCTTATGCAGAATTGATGGATTTGTCACTTTTTCTTTAACAGATCTGGTTATGATGAGAGAATCTGTTAACCATCGTTGCCTTGCCTCTGTTAATACTTGAACGACTGTCTTTAGAAAAACAGAATGTAAGAGATTCCACGACAGTAATCTCCACTCTTTCTGCACAAGCCTCCAGCACTGGAGCAGTTCAAACTCCTTTGAGAAGAACCTCTAAAAGGAATTACTGCTGAAACAGGAAAGGTATTAGAAATTATTCAAAAGAAATGTCCCAAGAATGTCTTGAAGCAGGACTGGTATTATGTTTGTCAAACAGCCTAAAGAGGTGGATATTATACCATTATACCAAGCTATATATTACTTATAACTATTGCAGAGCATAAACATGTGTCCATGCTAATATAATACGCTTACCAAATTAAGCATGTATCTAGATATTCAGAGACAATGTGGTTATTATCTTGTTTTCTTTTGAAGAGAGTCACATGTACTACATATCTACCCAATTACTCCTTTTCTTTTTTTTCTAATTAGAATTATTGATCTAGCATGATGGAATCATTGAAAGAATGATAAGTAATTGGGGAGCTAGGATGAAGCTAAACCAGAAAATGACTTATCCTTGAGAGTTTCACGTTTGTTAAGTATGTAGATTAAAAATCAGCAAATTGAGGTGCAGGGGAAATATAAACAATACCATTGTTACTGTAAAAAAGGAAAAGTAATCTGTGTTATAATAATGAAGACGGTCTTTTCCTTGAAAAGTGCATGTCTGCCATGCACTCTTAACAATGTGTTGTGGAGTCCTAAAGCAGAGTCTTTTCTTTCTTAACTAATGAAACCACAAATTAGAATGTTATCCAGACACCATTCCATCCTTGAATATTTTATGTGTTCTGACTTTTACAAGTATGGTAACATCATTTTTTAACAATAATACCAAACATGCCCTTAAATTCATCCTTAGAGCTTTATTAGCAAGACTTTTAAGCATTCCAAATCCAAATACAGAAGAGTGAATTCAATTTAGACATTTGTTTTCAATATTTTTGAGAGATCTCATCCTGTATCGCTATTTTACAATAGGCATGGTAGAATTAAACTCAAGATTATCATTTTTAGATGAAGATTAAGTTTGGATATGATCTGATAAAGTCATGCAGTGTATAATGGTATTACAAAGGTCCAATTTTTTTTGCTACTGCCAGAATATTATATTGAATCCATATATACTGAAATGCCATCTAAACAATTCAAGTCATACAATTTTTCATTTCTTCAAAACAGTGCAGTCCTAAGTGTGAGATTGTTTTAAAAACATATGAAGGTGTGATCAGCTTACTCTTTCATGATCCCCTTCAGGTGTCACATTTCCAACTTAGTTACAGGGATAATTTTCTTTTTTAAATGAAGGTTATTTTTCTGTAATGATCTAATTCTAGAAGCCAAAACATGCTGGCAGGTTTGAGAAACATGATAAAAGTGCTGAAATCAAGGCTGTTCATAAACTTGCAAGTTTAAAGTGATGGTCTGTTTGATGAGCCTTTTTTTTTTTTTTTTTTCCCTTTGATTTTGCATCTCTAGAGCTTTTTGCTAAATTAATTGCCAACATTATTTTCAATCAGGATTTTTGGGTCTTGATTAAAAATAGCAAAGTTTGTGTAATTTCCAACTCCACACTTTGCAGAAGTAATGAGAACTTTGCTATTATTTTAATTTAATGAAAAAAAAAAAGACCAGTTTTGCCTTTTTCCAAGGCAAAGAAATCTTTATATTATTTTTCTGTAGAAATTTTGAAATACTTAATTTTTATGCATCTCTTTCCAAACTTAAATATTCCTTTTACTCTTTGTTCTCATTCAGGCTGTATCTGCCAAAGCTTATCTTGTATTACGTATAATCAGTAGCTTGAATATTGCTTGCATCTCCTCTCTATGTGCCCTGCCTAGGCTTTCTTCCTAGACTTCGTCCTCCACATTGCTCTGCGATGGTATTGCAGTGGGTTTTTTAGGCATGCAGAAGACCTGTGTGGGGCTCAAAGATTTGCTCTACCTGTTCATTTAAATAGCTTACAGAGTGGGAAAACTTACCAGAGTTGTGAGAACCCTGCAGCATAAAAATAATTCAAATTCTGTAATACGCGATAAGAAAAACCCTTCAGGCACCTGTTGCTTTCTGCCTTTCCCTCATTAGTAATAAGTGTAATGCTGCAACCTTTCTCTCTTGCAGCACTTCATTTGTTTTCCTTTGTAAAGAGCCATTATTTGAAGCAATAAAAATGCCAGTAATTCAATAAGTATGCGAGAATTTTCCTGAGGCAAGGTATCTCATTAGAAACCAACTTGTGAAGATGGGCATAAAGTAATAACAGAATACCTGCAGCTTTCATTTTATATTTTCCTCGTGACAGTAAATAAATACTTTGTCCAGTTCTGGAAAGCTAGATGAAAAGAACCTTCCAACTAAAAGCTTTTCAATTATACCTTGGAAATTGGGATGAACTGGCAATTGCCACATCAATATAGCCATTTTGGAATGATGCAACGAAAAGAAATGGTCATTTAGGGCACAGTGTTCAAGATCAGAATTCAATAGGATTTGATTTCATAGCATGGCATTAGAATTCTTTTGGGTTTTTTTGATGGTCTGCATTCATAATAATATGAAAAGACGTAAAAGAAACTTGATCTTTCTCTAGCTGTACTTAAAGAATTTAAGTTTAAAGGTATCTACTTCTCTGGGATTGACCAGTGTACAGTTAAACTGTGAAACACACTGTACAGTGTGATCAGACAGTCATGAGGTGTTTTCAGATTTGAAGTAGTAGTTGATTTCTTATTCTCAAAAATAAGCACCATATGGTTTTGTAACTAGTTCCCTGACTGGCCTCTCAGCTCATTTAGTCTCTGGCTTCCTGACAAAATTGTTGACTTTCTTTGCCCATGCACTGGGGTAAGCTATTAGTTTTAAACAGAACCCTTAACTTGTGAAACAAAGCTTTACTAACTCATGTCTACAGTAATATGCAAATTTGATTTACTAGCATGTAAAAAACAGGCATCGAATCTGTGGAGAACATGTGAAGTGTTTCCAAGATAATACATGAAAGCTTTGACAACTACTTATTTTTCTTTCTCATCAGGGCGTGGTGAACATTGGTTACACAAATTTGCCAAGTAGAATGGCTATTCAAGCCAGTAGCATTTATTCCAATAACATCTTGAAATTATTAAAGCTGTTTCTCCTGACAGAATATTTTCACTTTGAACAAAAGGATGATTTAGATTATGGAACTATTGATCTTGTCACTAGACAAATTTTGGTGGTGAAGGTGAGTTTCAACACCAGTTAAACATTTTTTTTAACAAATAAAATATTGTGTGAAAGCAGAGGTTTTCTAAGTGAGTTTCAGTATTCAATGAAAACCTCTTTCAATATCTACATTGGTAATGTGAACAGTTTCTCATGTGTTTCAAGCACTGACAAGGCATTGATAGGACTAAAACAGGTTATTAAAAATATTGGTACTGTAAAATCAATGTTGCATATTTACCTCCTATTTTTTAAAGAATGCATTAGTGAAAATCAGCCCATTTGCCGAGCTACTGAACTGTGCCATAAGAACTTGCCAGCTTCTTTATGGATTCATCAGTATGCACTGAACAAAGGTGCAGTGGAATAGCTGAGCTGCATGTGAGACTCAAAAGGATTTTGAATAGTTTAAGTACTAGATCTAGTACTTAGTAGTTTGGTACTACTTTGTCTTTCAGCCAACGTCAGGAGAGGTACAGCTCTGCTTATAAGGACACAGGCTTTCTATTGAAGCAAACTTTTTTTTTTTTTTTAGCCTCAAAATCTGAAATGGATTTCAAGCCTGATATGACAACATTACATCCTGCATAATCTCTGTAGAAGCAGTAACCTTCTACACTTATTCTAGGGAAGAGAGAAAAAACTAGATAGGCAGTTAAACTGTGAGGTGGCCTTGTATACGAAATATACAAAAACAGATTTGGTGATTGTGACCTTCTGTATGCAAGATATTTCTTAAGTGTCTTGATGAGTTATGTTCATTTTGGATATGGTAGAGAGCAAGGATTAATTTCTGTTGTCACGGTGAGTTAAGATTGAGTCCATATCTACCCACAGGTAGTATTAAACCCAAGTACATTCCTGCTAAAGAAATATTAGCAGATTGTCTTGGTCAAACAGTAATTCCAGTGTTTGTGAGGAGAAGCTTACGAGATCAGCTTTTAAGGAAGGGGTGGGAGTAGTGGTTGTTAAGCCAAATTTGGTGCAGTAAGAACACCGAGATAGTTTTTACAACTGACTGAATTCAGTGATCAGTACTATTTTATAGACAAGGGGCTGTCATCATCGTTATCAGGTAAGGGTCAAATACCATTGTATTTACTCAATTTATATCCCACTAATTTCAGAAGAACAGATAATCATGACTAGCTTATCTGAAGGATCAGTCTGTCATAACATAAGGAAAAGCAACATACTGTAGAAATCCATTTTAATGGTAGTTTTGTTCTGTAACTGAAAGGTGGGGTGTGATTTCCAGATACTTCTCCTCAAACAACATCACCTTCTATTCCCATTGGGGGGGGTGGGGGGAGGGGAAGAGTAACCACATTCTTCTGAACTAGGAAGGTATTTTCTCTAGTGACCAGGAATAGGATCAGAGGGAATGACGTGGAGATATGTTAGGCTGCGAAAAGGTTCTTCACTGAGAAGGGTGAGCAGGCACCAGACCGTGTTCTCTGGGGCAGTAATCACAGTGCCAAAATATGGATTTCAAGAAGCATTTTGACAATTCTCAGAAATATGGTTAGAACTTTGGGTAGTCCTTTGTGGAGCCAGGAATTGGATTCAGCTCTGCCTGTGCATTCTTCCAACTCAGGATGTTCTATGGTTCTGTGACCATTTCTGTATCTTTTTATAGAAGGTGCAGGGGAATTCATTTATCCTTTGTATGTTGTAGTGTTGTAGTCCACGTGGCACCTAGATGATGCTAAGAATGTCAAAAAAAAAAAAAAAAGCTCCTGAAAGCTAGTATGGCTTTACATTGAAAAGTAGCAGGCAATGGTAAGCCACGATTGCTAATATATCACGTTGCTTACCAATTGAATGAAAGGTTTAAAATTCAACTTTTCAAGATCCTTGGTGAATCGCTGTGTACCTTATGTTAAAAAGAAACTTCTGATGTTAATTATACATGCAGTAGAGAGCCAATATGATATAGATTAGAGACCCAATCCAGGGCCAATTGAAATTAACATAGTCTGTTCTCAAAAGCTTTTGGATCAGGGCCTGTGCGTACTGTATAACTCCAGATGTCACTGTCTGTGTTGAAATATATGTCTGAAATGGAAAATGAATCATATAGCAAGGTTTTGATTATGTTGAATAACATTTTCCTCGTAAACAAGATTATGCTTTTCACATTTAACTACCTTTAAAAACAATGATAGAATGGAAAAAAGAGCAACACAAATGTTAACAGGGAAGGATACAGATAGCTCACCTTTTCAAGTGTTTGTGACCTTTGAAACATTTTTACGAAGTAAGTAACAGTAAAAATATCTATTTGTTCAAGAAAAACATTTTTTTTTCCTTTAATACAAGAGGTTGTTCTTAAAGAATAAAGAAGAGTGCTTCAGTTAGGGAACAATTCCATATGTAAATTATGTGTAACATCCAAAGGACCTTCTGTACTGCCTCCACCTGCAGTCACTGACATTGAATGTTTCAAAGTATTCTTTTAATACCCTACTGCTAAGAACTGTTTTCTTTAATAACTGTTAGGCAATTTGTAGGCAAGTTTTAAAGTTTTTATAACAGCTTCCTAAAATGATAATCAAACTGAAAATTAATCTCCTGTGAGCTCTAGGAGCCAGACTGATATTCTTGCTGCTTTAGATTTTCTCTTGATTAGAGAAATTCATACTGCTATGCTGATTTGCTCAGTGCTTACTTGGGTACCTTTTAACAAAACATTGTGCAAGTGATGACAAAATGTGTCTCCAAGTAAAATTAATTTATTAATTTATTTTTGGCTTAATGAAATGATCTAGTCTTTTCCTAAAGTGGGAAAAACATTTCCTTAAACCCCCAACACATATGGTCAGAAAGACTGGTACTGGGAGCAATAATATTTTATCCCAAGGAAGCATTGTTGAACTGTTTGTGTGGTCTGCATCCTTTAATAGTGTTCAGATGCTACGCTGTGGTCTGTTCTCCTCCTAATGCAGCAAAGGTTGTGAGAAGTCACTAGGGAATTTGACATATTTCATTTTGCTTCTTTTCTAAGGAACTGTTTTTCCATATTTGCCCAAGTGGATTTATTTCTTTATTTACTTTTAAGAAACATTATTTTGTAGTCCCAAATGCACTTTCTAGACCTCGGTGTCCCCACTTCATCCCAGGTTGACAATGACTTTGTTATTCCAAAATTAGTTTTCTGGCAACAAGGAGGTATACAAATTCTGCATGTAGAAACATGGGCAGGAAATGCCTTCTGCTGCCATGAATGTTGGTAACACAGCTTCAATCAGAGGAAAGCTTGGATTCTATGCCTGTTTTTTTTTTTTTAATTGTTAATGAAGAAAAGTATTTATTCTCAATGTCTATTTTTTTTTTTTATAAGCTTGGCAGGTATTTTAGGACTGACTTATTGCTTCTAATCCTGCTTTTACTGAAATGATGACCATATTTGTTCTTGCTTGAAACAGTGCTTATCACATTACCCAAGGAGTCCCACCTGCCCTCTGTTTGCCTTTCATGTCAGTTAAAAATGCAACCTCTATTAAATGTGCTGTTTCTTTCTTCTCACTTGTGCTTCCTTCTGTCAGATTTTGGTTGAATTTCATTAGGAGAGACATGGGAACAGAAAGAGATTAATGGCTTACCCAAAGTGAATTACAAATGAGATAAGGAGTTGTCTCAGAACTTTTGCTCCAAGTATAAAGTAGTGCTGTTTTCATCTTTACTTAGATGTATGTTTGTACAGAGGAATTTTACTGCCAACCAAAAGGTTGTGTAATGATCACTGCTTTTACATATAGGAAAACTGACATAAACATTAATGTCTTGTTTATACCCACTTCATCTATATTAAATTTATGTATTTCTGGGAGCAATAGGATGACCAGATATCATGTATAACAAAATTAATGACAACAAATCCCACTTTGCTTTACTTTGACCATATTTGCACTGACATTACCCCTCCACAGATGGGGTTCCTGCTGGAAACCTCTCTAGTTCTAGATAATCTGTTTACCATTCTCTTTCGATCACTATAACTATATCACATTTGTCACGCTGGCTAAGGAACTCACAGCATCTTGTTTGCAAGTGCAAATGTAGCAGATCTTATAAACTAACTAGGCAGACTCTGAGCTCTGAGTTGCCACCTGCGTTCAGCCAATGATAGGATAAAGAAAAGAGATGCTGGATCCATAGCTTTTTTTTGTCTTTTTCAATGATTAAAGACAATATTTGTATTCCAGAATACTTCCACAAACCATGTGTAGGGATAAAATCTGCGTGGGTAGGAGTTAAAAAGTGTTTAGTTTTATTAGGAAATGGGAGTCCTATGGAATAAATGCAGCTTACAACAGAAGGATGGGTTCTGTATAATGGGAGATGAAAGACTGTTGGTAAATTATTATTGCAAAGCTTAACAGGAGAGCTTCTAAAACTAAAGACAACAGGACATAGATCACATAATCTAAAATTAATTTCTGTAGCTCTGAAGAAAGATGAGGCAGAACTTCATGAATGTAATGTAAAATAAAACATTTATACTCAACTCAAAGACTTCTACGTAGAACATGAAAAAAAAAAAACGAATATACCATACACAACATCATGCTATAAAATCAGGAAATGCAATGAATTGGGAAGGCCTGACTTTGAAAGAGAATAAGAAAGCCATCTATAGAAGGACAAGTCATCACCGAAATAGAAAAATAGAATGTTTCTACTGAAAGAAAAATAACTCTGACACAGCATTAGAACTGCATTTGCAACTGAAATAAGATGCAGAATACAAAATGAGGCAGTCACACCAGTTTTAACACAAGGGATATGCAGAGTAAGAAAATGCCCTCACAAGAATTTACTTGCTCATTCTGACGTGTAAAACCTATTTCCCAACAGGTAATTTCCTAATTACACAGAGAATGTTGCACATGTTCAAATCACCTGCAGTTTTTCCTACTCTGCTTTCTCCTTGAAGCAGTGTTTGGAAGAGGATATCACACCTCTAATCCATTGGATGTAATGCTAAACAGGTTAGTCAATATTTTCTTATGTTCAATAGCTAAGTAATCCAAAACTAGCAGGGTGGTCTTGGCTATAAAAGATCATCACACCTGCAAGGAAAGGGTCTGATTCGGGCTGAGACATTAATGCTAAGTAGTGAGGAACAAGGGACATGTGCAGAATCAGGCCATCTAGGAAAATTCTCCACTTATATGGGCAAATACTTGTCATCCCTTTTAGGGTCATGGAATATTTAATCCCTGGGGCCAGGGAGACAATATTATAGGCTTTTTGTCTTTTACTGTCCTTATTAGAGCATATTCTTTTGTGACTTTGCTATGCTTAATTCAAGAGAAAACAGCTTTGCATTTCCAATTCCCTGGTATTCAGTCAGTTACAAAGTGACAACAAATAAATTTGCAGAAGTACCAATCTGTATCTAAAAACATCAGGAAAGTCACCCTGTTTACCTTTACTGTTCTTTTTAAATCTGCCTCTAGATATGTGTGTTGTTCAAAACTTACTAAAACTGAGCAATTTCTTATTAGAGGCAGAATTTCATTGGCAATTATCTTTAGTAAAGACAGAAAGGAAGCATTTGGAGAAGAAAGCAATCAGATAATAATCAGAACTGAACTGGTTTTCTCACCTGCCCTTAAGGCTTCCTACATTCAGTTGAACCATTCAGTACCAACTCTGCGAGAAGTGAGGTGTCACATTCCTTTATTCTTAAAGTTGGTTCTTATTTATTTATTTATTTATTAAAATACAAAATCATCCCTGAAGGAAAAATCTCATGTGTGTCCTGGAACTTGTAAGAAGGTTACATGGCAGTTGATAACAAAACTTATCTCCCAAGCTATTGTTTTACATTTTTGAATGGAATCATCATTCTTTGTAATGGCATTATATTGACACAATGGAACAGTAATGCATATTTTAAAAAACCTAAGTAAAATATTTCCCTCTGTGCTGTAACATGCTGAAGTAACTGACTAATTCAATCTAACATGCCATAAGTGCCTCAAAAAGTAAATGCTGAAAACAGTAGCATATAGTTTCAATTTATGCTTTACACACAAATGATGGATTTACTAATTCCTAGACTTTTACCTGATTAATGGTGAGGCTTGGATTAACAATTAGATGAATACTGGGTCAAAACAATATGCTGTGTTGTTGCTCCTTCTGGAGTGTGTTCTGGGAAGATTCTTTCTTGCTTCCTTCTGTTGCTTCTCTTTCCACAGGTGAGCCACAGCTATACAATCATTCAGCAATCATTCAGCTGTTATGTTTAATACCTTCTCAGGATGCAGTATCTACCGATTTGCTTCAACTTGAGTGTTGTTAGTATTTGTAGGTGACATTTTGCCTTTTGTCACACTTCAGTCTTTGGACTTAAACATCTGAAAAGCCTGTAAGTATTTCTTGAAGATATCAGCCAGATATCTTTGGCCTTTCTGAATGTTTGAAGGGTGTTGTTGAATGGCTAAACCTATCAGTTGTATGCTGTCATATAAACATCTATATTTAAAAATAGTTTAGTAAATATACTTTCAACTCATTTAGCAGTGTAGCTTCATAGTCAATATATTATTTGAAATGAAGTCATCTTTTAACTAGCAGAAAAAAGGCTGAGTTCACTAAATGTTGTCATAGAGGAACCTCAGGATGTTTTTGTAACAAAATGTTTTAAAATTCAAAATACAAAATGGAAGTTTGTATTCAGCTTGACTTAAATAAACCTCTTTCTACTCATAAAGGATCTTAATAAAATAGTTTTACATTTGTCCAGACCAGCAAAAATCTGCCAAAGGTAAGATATCTTTCAGCTGGAGGTAATATGATAAGTATTTTTCTCTTAAGACAGGATATGAGGAACTAAGCATGAGAACAAAAGGAAAAAGGCAGTAATTGAGGCATTGTAGACTAATATTAGAAAACAATACATCAATGTTTGTGATAATTAAAAACATACTCAAATGTGTTTCAATGAATCCTGGAACTGAGTTGCTGGGATGCTAATTAGTTCCATGATTTCTATTGGTGTCATAAAGAAATGCAGAAACCAGAAAATAGTGAAAGAAGCACTGTGCAGAATTCTCATAATCAGAGAAGACTATTGACTTGCATTAACAAGGAAGAAATTTCTTAACCTTTAATGTAAAACATTTCTTAGTCTTTCTAGAGATTATTAAAGTCTTTCAGGGTCCTTATATTCCTTTTCAAAGAATAAAGCTTGAAGCATATCTATGCTATCTGTACACCTGTTTACAGGTGTTTTTTTGGACGATGTATTTCATCTCGGATGTGCGTGCACAAGTGTGCTGCCAGGGTCATCCAGCCACAGAGCTTCTGCTCTGGACTTGGGAATTGCCTTTGGTGTTCCTGGTATTGCTGGAGGGTCAGGTGCAAGCAACAGTAGGTGCACTGAAACCCTCACCAGAAGTGTTTGCACAGGTATCTCTAGCATCTCTCTTGAATTTAAAGGAAAATAAATATTCGAAAAGCTCAGCTTTAACACTGATTCTCTGAGGAAGATTTTCTATCTGATGCTGTGGGAGGCCCATAGCAATCCTCAAAAATTGAGGTTGAAATCTGATAAGAGAGACAAGGGGAAGGCACTACTTTTTGAGCCACTCTGTCCATTAGAATTATGCCACTTTTCTGATGCTTGTAGAGGCATTTTGCATGTTTGATTCCCTGTAGGGAACATGTGTTTGAAAACTCAGACGGATGCATCCATAAAACTGCTCTACATAAAAAGCTGCTGCTTCAAAAGCACAGTTCTGGCTTACTTTCTTACAAACTGTCATCCTAAAATGTTCTAGCAATGCATTTTTGGAAAATACTTAATTAGGTTAAATTTTCCTATAACTATTATATTTCTATTTCATTGTAGGGAAGCAAAACAACATTAGAAAGTAAACAGTCCTTTCTTGCTCAACAGTCTGTTTACGCTTTGAGTATGAAACACGATGTAATGCTTGCTTTATCTTGGATCTAAATCATTTCGTTTTGCAGGTCTTATCGTTGCAAAACAAATTTAAATGTCTGATCTTCCTCAGACTGTAGCTACGTTTCAGCCTGGTTGGTCTGTCAGTGGTCTTTCATGTACTGTTGAGTACATGATTGCACATCCACGCCTTGATGTTCACCTTTCAGCCAGTGTTCTCGAAATCTGGGCACTATGCTGGTGCGTATCTTTCAGTGCTTCTGTCGTGACTGATGCAGAACTGTTAGGTAATCACTCTGTTGTATGAAACTGGATGAAGTTCCTTAGATTAACACTCCCTACTGCCCTAGAAAACAAGGAAGAGAACAATAGTGATTTTGACTTTAGCACTGATTGGAAAATATATTGATGTTGGCGTTAAGGATCTTGATTGCTGGGTTTGTGAGAGAATTTGAGACTCAATTAAATTCCATAGAGAGGTTGTGCAGTCTTGGATATCTTCAAAAACTGCCTGAACACGGTCATGGGCAGCCTGCTCCAGGTGCCCCTGTTTGAGCAGATGGGTTGGACTGTGTAACTTCCAGATGTCCTATTCAAACCTAACTGTTCTGTGATTCTGTGAATTGTGGACTATGGCAGGAACTGAAGCACTTCCATTTCTGAGAACTTAAAAAAGAAAAAATCCTACATTTGTCTTTCATCTGCAATGTGTTTTTCTTCCAGCTAAACTGGAAGACCAGTTCTTCCCTGGAGACCAGTATCTTCAGTATTTTTATTCTGTATCTGCAACTTGTGTTATTTTCCAGTGCATTGACATTAAAATATTTTAGTGCTAAACTCAATACAGCAGCCAAACTTCCATCCAAGTTTGCTGAACTTTACACTGCTTCTACCTGGGCACCATGTGTTTAAGATGCTGACTTCCTGACAGCATCAATGGCTGGTATGGTAATTCATTTGTTTGATCTGAGCTACACTGCTGGATTACTGTGCAAATTTGGTGATAAAACATTATATTCAATTATGGTAATAGGAACAAGAGAGCAATTCTTGAATCTCTTTACTTGCAAATAAAAGTAACCTAAGATTTTTTGCATTCATATCCAGCAGTTGCTGAATGCTAGCCATAATGTAATCTTGTGCATTAACTGAAAAAATTGGCATAAATTATGAAGAATCAACAAAGCACTCTGCAGAATGTTTATCTAGCCCTACAGAAATTCTCTAACAAATCTGCAAGGCCTTGCAGGATACCACAAACCACATTTCAGAGATCCAAAACTTTTCAGCCAGCAGCACTGCTGTAAAATAAGCTGTGGATGTTTAACTAGTCAGATGTATATGCATTCCTAGCCATTGCTGTAACTATGGGCCGGTTTAGGAAAGAAATAAGAGTATAAGTTTTATCCTGCAAAGTAACAAATGATTTCAGCTTTCATAATGTCTGCGTAACCTTTCAGCAAAAATTCTAAAGGCTTTTAGACCAAGCTGAAAATGTGTGAATAGTGATAATGGTTAACCAATTTCTGCTAACTGGCTGTATGAGTCAACTTCTGGTCTTTGTTTCACTTTTTAAAAGGTATTTTAAGAATTGTATGCAAATTTCATTTTTCTTCTCTTCAGTTTTTACTAAATTGCATTGAGTGTTGCGGACAGCAACTTAGGTGGGACAGGTATGCCTGCAGATATTAAGTAAAATAACAAGGCAGTACTTTGGCTGAACTGTGTGCGCAGAATTTCTTCCTGACAGCTCTTCACAGTTAAAAGCACCTTGATTGGTTCCTCTGGAGGGAGCTGCTGTCATACAACGTGCGGGAAAGGAAGTACTGTGAATTTGGACCCTTATTTTGGGAGAGTCTAGAGTATAGACTCTAAAACTTAAAAATAAGATGCTTCTAGAGACTGGATGGCTGGTGTGCAGGGTGAGGAGCTGTGTAGCTGTCTAGCTAACATAAGGATTGCAAGCAGTACATGTGCACTAGAGCAGCACTTGAATATTTTTATCCTGCTTTTTAGTAATTCCTTTACCCATAGCTCAGGCACTTGCACGTGGCTCTTCACTGCACTGTGTAAACTTGCAGACATTTCCTGCTGGTTATAGGCAAGGTGGAATGGGCATTGACTGATACTCACACATGGGCGTTGAGATTCAACTACTGCCTATGAGAGCTGATGCTGTCAGATCATAGTGGAGGTCTCGTATCAAAGAGCTTGTGTAATTCTGCAGGAGTTGTAGCTATTCTGCATGTAAACTGTTCCTAGTGCACTTGAACTTTAAAAACAATTAGAAGAAATAATAGCAACAACATACTTTAATATTTATTAAATAATAATAAAAAAGGGAATGGTCTTAAGATCTCACCCAGCAACCACCTTTGAGGAAATGAGAAATGTGCTGTTTCATAACAAGCACAAAGGGAGATGTTATTTAAACAAAGAACATCTTTGTTTTGCTAAGGAAAAGTATTAAGGTAGTTTGGGGAGGAAGATTTTTTTTTTTTTTTAATGGAAGAAAAACAAGATTTTTCTCAAAAGCTTCAAAATGTGATTTTTATGCCAAGCTTTGCAAAAAAAAAAAAAAAAAAAAAAAAAAGCAATACTGAACTGTTGAACCATCACTGTGTTGGCTTCACAGCTTGTTAAAGTAAAGTTTAATGAGCTGAAGAATAATACAGTCTGCCTTCCTAAGCAAACTACATGAAAACTATTTATTTTGGTTTTCTTTTAATGGAATCAAAACTATTGTTTTTGACCCGTATGCTCATTTGATACTTTCACGTTTAAGGCATGTCTTTGCCAAATGTCACTGGGGGAAGGGATAAGGCCCAGCACCTGCTGAAGGACGTAGACCTATTGTTTACAAATTGTTGGAACTTCAACTTGAACGAGCTCTGTCTTCACACATATCTATAGGATAGCATAGCTGATGAGTTAATATGTCAGTTAATCATTTTCCTTCACTGTAATAAACTGCAAAACGTTATAGTACTTTGCGGACTTCAGTGAATAAAAGTCTGCAGTTCCACATATGTAGGAGGAAATTCTTTAATAAAAACAGTTTTTATGCATTGGATTTTCTGAAACTGCTGAGCACTTGCAGTGTAGCCAGTGGATCTGCTTTGTGCCTCAGCTGGAACCTGAGTTGACACCTAGGCCTTTTCTCCCTGGAGTTACAGGAGGTAAAACTTGGTATGTACCTACATTCGTAACTGAGCAAATTTCCCTAGCTGACCCAAGAATACAGTTGGCTTCTCTCATATGCAGCTGCATGCATCTCTTAGCCAAATGGATGGGTCATCATGACAAGGGGCCTCTAAAAGGAGAGGAGATGGTAGGGAGAAGAGAACTGCCAAAGAGCCTCCTTCAGCAGAGCAGAATGCTATAGAGATAATGTTAAGTGCTGCTGGTTTTGAATAGCAAAAGTCCAACAGAAAACATCAAGTACAAGAAATGTTATTAGT